AAAAACATACCAGCCTTCTCGAGATCTTGCGATGACAATCGAAATAACAACCGACAGCAAACCACTGAAACTGTTAGTTAGCGGAGATTAGCTGGTTTCCGATCCAAAGCAGCGATTTTATTCGGCGAAAGACTCTTCGAAAATTTCATTCAACCGTACATCCTGCATCATTAGATGGTGCACTTTTGTAACCATCCAGAAGAAGGGGATCTTTTCCGGGAACGATTGCGCTTCCAGCTGTTCGAAATGCGAAATGTTGTAGAACAGTATCGCAAACTATCTGAGTAACTGCTCCAAATCCATCGGGAGAAAACCGCCTGGAAGAATCCTGCATCTCACAGCTCAACTATCGAAAGATAAACAAACTTTGACGTTTAACTTTTTGCAGGCAAACTTTGCCTCCATAAATGCTGCCATAAATCTGAACGGGTTAGGATCACGCAAAATGGCTGTAGATAAATACAATTCAGCCTGCAAGTTTTCTTCATAAAAGCCATTTTAAACCCTTATTAATTTGTTAAGGAATTCTTGAAAGCAAAACAACTTTTTAACAAATGACCCATGAAAATCAACTTTTATGCCACCGCCATATTACAATTAGTTTGCTTGTTTTTTTTACAATCTTCGCTTTTCAATCAATATTTCTTTAGATATAACTATATTTTGGTAAATTTAGCAATGAGCAAACATTTAAATTCGAAAATAATAAAAAAAATCTCGGTCAAGCTCGATCTGAAGAATATATATATTTTTTTTTTCAATGTTAAATAATTAGTCAAATCGACGTTCTACGAGGGTGGACTTAATTTTTTCGATGCTTTCTTGTACATTTCACATAAAATTTAATATGGCACTTAAAACTAGGCCACTTAATGAGAACTATTGTAATAAATTTGGATATTCAGCAAGATTTTTATACCATCAGTTTCTATTTTAATTATTTTGATAAGATCGGATTCATAAATCCTTTTCTATCTTGATTGATGCTTTCCTAGTGGATTCAGCATGCGGCTAGGGGAAATGGCTCGAAAAGGGTTTTTATTGTTGCATAATAGCTTTTGTTGTAGCTTTCAAATGGTTCTCAATGTGTTCGTCAATGCAGTAAATCAATCAATTTCATAAAACTTAAAATGTTGCTTGGGCTGGGTTTGGGAAAAAAAAGTTTATTTCAAGAAAACAGTGATAAAATTAACATTTGCACATTTTTCTAGAGTTTTTATGGAAAATTAGAAATGTATTTACTTTAGCACATTCGTAAAGTAATATCCTATCGATATTTTTTGATTTGCACCCCAGTACAGTCGACAAAGACTAAGTTCTACATCAAAATGCGCTATATATGTGAAATCAGTCTAATCAATTGCAGCAAATGTAACAAATGTACGTGGATTTATACAATTTTACAAATTTTAAAGATTGAAAATGCTTTTTTAAATGTTATTGCGGAAAAAAAATTATAATACAATTAAGTGCATTATAAATTTTCAATTAATTTATTCATCAAAGCATAAATGCGAAAGCTTTCCAGAGGCGTAATATATTATACTTTTTACAATGTTTATTAATACTAAAATTAGTAGAAGTAAATAGAAGCGCAGGCAAAATACTAGTGGCTTACACGACGTTACGGGCATCAATCTATTAACCAGGTAGGGTGGGGATCAAGGAAAAGGTATACAAGGATGCGATTGATATATTTATCTCCATCGCCGTTATACTGTTCATGTTCGACGATTGACTGTGGGAGATGCACTGCGATGACAGGCAAGTGCTCTGGATCTCTCTTGAGAGGCCGATGGTTTATTGCAATACTGCAACAAAGCATAAAAAAGGGGCTTGGGTTGGGACAACGATGAGAGGACAAACACTTAGATTGATGTCGTTTTTTTGTGTTTACACTACTTCGCTATTTGCTCAAACTTTAGTAATTTATCCGTCAAAGTTGATGATCGACAGAAGCAATGGCCACTTAGCAAATAGTCGCTTAAACAAAGTTTTAAACATTGGAATCATCAAACCAATAATGATCCTCGTGGAATCAGACACATTCAATAATTATAATTCTAGATGACTCAAGGACAGTCTTCAGTCAGTAAACTACACGAATGTTTTGCTCTCACTTGTTCTCCGCTTGCTACACTGCACTGAAGTAAATGAATTTAAGAGTTTCAGAAGAACCACTTATGAATTCTAGTCATGAGAAATCAGTATGAATTTTAAAGATTTGCCATATGAAAAATAATGTCGACAAAAAATAATAAAACTGTGCAGACTGGAACCAAACTATGGACGCTGAGATTACGGGTCCTGTGTTTGGATCACTCGTCTGTGGCTAATGGCATAGAAGAGCTACCTAATGTTAGACGAAAATCATTCATAAGTCGTGCTTATGAAATTCATATGTGTCGAGCCTTATGAAATTCTTAAGTCTATTTGCCCCGCAGTGATCGCGAAGATGTTGGAATTGGCTAAATCGACCGTGTGCAGTGTTCTAAAATGTTCCCGCATAAATGCAAACCATTGCTAGACCTTACCAAAAATGGTTAAAAATTGTTCATAATACATGCTAAAAATTAACTGAAATGGTTATGGAGCTTTACATGAACGTTTGTATTTGACTATGAACAAATTAATCCAAAAATTATGTAGACAGTAAATCATTGGAATTGACTTGTTTGTTATTTTTGTTTTTGAGATGTTGATGACGAAAAGCACCTGATTATATACAGGGGCGACCCCGGCGTATTGGTTAGAATCCATACCTCTCACGCCAAAGTCACGAGTTCAAATGTCACCCCCAGACAAGTCACCAAAGACCCAAGAACGTTAAAGTGAATATAATAAATAAAAAGTTCCAGAGTCAATTTTCAAATAGCTGAATCTGCTTTGGTCGCTCGCCCATGCATAATAACACCACGATAATTTTGGTAAAACTTTACCCTCTCTGATGGAGGTGTTAGTTTGTGTGGGCGAAGTTTCGTCAAGAGTTTTGACTAATAGACGATTCAATCGAAAAAGCAGACACGGATATTTGAAAATTCACATTTGGTCACTTTTTTATACTTGATTGGAATTTTAAGCTCTATCGTCATGATTACCAACCACTTGCCTTGTCATCTGAGATATCCTAGAATATCCCCTATCGCCAGCTCAAAGAGATATATCAAGATGTGCTGCCCTGGTTCACTCACAGTCTCTACTTTAGCTTTAAAAGTACTATCGTTTTAGGAGAGTAAGCATGATTAGTTCGACAATCGATGCTACCTGTGTGATGCTGGGAGGGTTTTTTTTAACGTTAGCAGCGCTGAAATAATCGATTCATTACCATCGGTTGGTGACAAACTCTGACAAACTGCATTTTGCGTAATGTCAAATCATGACCCTTTGATTGTTAGTTTACATTCGTAAATTCTTAAAAGTTAAAGAAGTATCATTTTTTGATAAAAGAGTTCAGAGAAAGAATTTTAATGTTTTCGAAAAAAAAAATAGCATCCCTTCATAAATAGAATGATTCGAGAAGAACGTGAATTATTTATCATCTTTCTACTTATAAAGTCTGTTCCAATAAGTATTTGACCGCTTCTTTTTAATTACTGTAGCGTCTCTAGTTGTCATAGCAAGGAACTGTTGACAGCGTTTTGGTCTGGAAAGATTGTTTATTCAGTGGTGAAAATTTCATCAGGATTCATACACGCGTTTACACACTCACGTTGAAAACTTACGATGAAATTTACGTAAAAATGGAATTTGGACCAATTCCGGGTCAAAAATGTTACCAAAACATAAGGGGGATGCTCCGGATAAGTTCAAATTAGTCTTTGCAGATAAATTCACTGGAAAGTTGATGATTTAGCGCCGCTGGTAGTGTAGTGGTAAGCGTGATTACCCCTCACCCCAAAGAGCCTGGGTACAATCCCAGTCGGCGCCACCGGGATGTTCTGAGGCATAACATCTCTATCACGCTTTCCTTCGGGAGGGAAGTAAAGCCGTTGGTCCCCGGTTCATGAGTTGATGGGTCGATAGGTAGGGTCCAGATGTGGGAATTGCCTCCCTGGCGTTAGTAGAATTGGTAACAACTATCTACCTACTCTCTTCAGACCTTTTTCTAGCTAATAAACTACCACACAAAAGCTTCATGTTAGAGGTTTGAAATCATTAAAATTTGTGGAAAGCTTAGAACACAACAATAGGCTTTTGATGTTTTTCTAAATTTAGTTAGGTGAAAGTGTGCGTTTGACTAGTACTGTCGCATTAATAGCCCTTCGCTCATTTTCAACTTTTATTCAATTGTCATACTGTCGTACTCTAGTGGAACTATCTACCTACCCTCTTCAGACCTTTTTCTAGCTAATAAATTACCACACAAAAGCTTCATGTTAGAGGTTTGAAATCATTAAAATTTGTGGAAAGCTTAGAACACAACAATGATTGTAGTCAAAATTGGACCTTCATTCCATTTTTTGCTGCTTTTTAGTTTAACACCTATTTTTATAAGATAAATATGATTAATAAAGTTATGAACTTTTCTGGTCGTTGATAGACTGATAAAACCACCATGTTGTAAATATATCCAGATAACCACGATGTTGTATAGATAACTTCAACAGATGAACAGATAAAAGAGCAGCACATTTGCTATCTTTATTAATTTACTTCAAAGCTGCTATGATTCTTAGAACTAATTTCATCAGCATATGGTGTAATCAAATAGCTAACCTCTTGAGCTAGGCTATCGAGTAGCTCCTACCCATAAAGTCACAAAATTCATTCACATATAGCACAAGATCACATCACATAGTTTTAGCTTTACGACGCATGGAAATGAGATCGTAAAGTGAATTATGTTTGGATGGCAGGAAATGCGAATTCAATTTCCACACAAAAATCAAATAATGTAAAAGCTGACAGATAAACAAAATTATAAAGTCATAAATCATACACCACATCAATGTGGCATAAGACGAGTTTAAAATATGAAAGTTGAACTTTGCGTTACTTACCGGTATGCAGCAACGGACACCCTTGGAGAAAGTACAACACAATGATCCAGCTTCGAAATAGGTGATTCAAATTTCTCGATAAACCCAAAATGTAAACAGTGTTTATCATAATTTAATCTTTGAGGTTTTCTTCCTTCCCGGGTTTTCTGGCTGTAGACTTTTACTTGTTATCACTTTGCCTTGATTGTTTCACTTTCACAGAACACTCTAATTTCGACATAGCTCACTAAACGTGTTTGGATTATAAAATACGATTATACTCTTCATGACACTCCTTTTGCATTTTTTCATCTTGAACCAGAAGCTGGATTACGAACACAATCTACTGTTTCTGTTTTTCTGAGCACAATGGCTAACGCCAGCCGTATTATCATTTTAATTTTATCCTTGCCACTCTCTTCTTGGTTGTGTTAGTTTCTATATGGGGAGATAAGAGGATTATTTTTGTTTTTATTATACAACATTCAGAGCTGGTGCGTTCTGCTATTGGTCTGCCTGGTTTCTGGTAATTGTGATCGCATGAGCGTGACGTCTCGTGTCCAATGGTAATAGCAACTGTAGCAGTCACATCCAATCGCTTAACCCCCTGCTATTGGACAGCAAGACGACAGAGAAACAAGGTTATAAAGCTCAATTTATCGTCAGAAAATGTTGTTCGAATTGCACTGACATTGTCGCTCAGCAAAATTACTTCGATGGATATACCAGACATGTATTTCATTGCTTTTTTTGGTACATGTTGGCAAAGTCAATTGCTTACAGCAAGGAAAAAAACATGAAAACGTAGTATAACGCGTATCACCACCAGGCAGGCTGACTGCCAGACACAACATGAGATTAGAGATAAATGAAACATACAACATATAATTCGAAAGCCTGCATTTCTGGGCCATTACGTTGGTGAATCTTGGAAGCATATTGGAATTGGCCTGTAAATATACCCTTGGTACACACAGTTGGTTTGTTCAATTGCTTCAAATCCTTTTCATAGCAGATTTGACCCAAATGTGCATATAGGATAAAGCGCTGTGAAATGTGTCATGTTTCTCCATACCGAAGACATGCGAAAAGATTCATCCAAATCGAAGGGCTCTTAGCGGTGTTGATTGCTCTGAAAGTATGCGAGCATGAACCATGAGAGTATGTTTACCTTAAATTCAATGTGCGTATGTTTAGCTTCCAGCGGAAGAAAAAGAATTGCCTATTCCCGAATGCTTTACAAAACATGATCACTGATTACTTTTAGTGAAAACGATGTAAGTGATATTCAATAATTTCCCATAGTAATTCTCCAAAATCTCCATATATACTTCAAGCCATTTGCTTGACCTCTAAACCTTCATCAATCTTTACCAATGTTGGTGTTATGGATCAAACTGGAGGAGGACCTTTATGAAATTTAACACTTTTTTGAAAATGAACCACCCTATTGACCAACTAGATATAGTTTTGGTTATTGTTAGATGAGTCTACATGAAGTTTGAGCAATTCTAGGCAAACGCTATTTATTTTACTGTCATTTATCAAATTTTAATTCCTCAAAGTACAATGAACTGAACCAACCGAAAATGTGTACATTTGTAGTCAAAATAATGATCTTTGAAAAGCTTTTAAAATTCAGAAATGGCCGTCATGGTGGGCCTATCACTTCAATATTTCTAAAGCACACATCTTGGACACTGTTGCAACATCATGCGTGAAACTCCCTCTTTGCTGCATTGCAATAAGCTAACGTGGAGTTCCAGTTTCATTGTTCTATGTTATGTGATTGCTGATATTTGTGATCTTGAAATGTCAAGGTGACAGTGAGATGAATTGGAAATAAGTTTTCACAGCGATTCACCTTAAGTAGACTAAAATCTGTTCACTATTATTGATCTTACAATATAGGCTATTTTTTTTTTCATTTGCTGCCAACAGTTTTCTTTCAAAAATTCCTATATTATAGTGTATTTGAATCTTTTTTGACTAACGGAAGTCACCATCCTGAATTTAAATGTGTTGTATTAGGAATACGGAAAGTAGATATTCAAATTATAACAAATTTTCACAAAAAAAGTCTAATATATCCACCATTCGAAATGCCCTCAGTACATCGCCAACTTTGCCAACCTTACTATTTCGCCGCAAAGCAATGAACGGTGCGTTCCGTCCCTCTTCTTTGAACACTGAGGTGGCATTCAAGGAGGTGCTCCTCGAGTGACACCTCAGTGTATAAAAAAGAAAGGGAATGGAATAACGTTGCGAAAACGAAAACAAACGAGTGTTGAAAGTTCTCGATAGCGGCGCCGGTGGTGTAGTGGTGTGATTGCCACTCACTCCAACAGGCCTGGGTTCAATCCCAGTCGGCGCCACCGGGATGTTCTGAGGCATAACATCTCTGATCACGGCTTCCTTCGGAAGGGAAGTAAACCCGTTGGTCCCGGTTAATGAGTTGATGGGTCGATAGGTAGAGTCCAGGTGTGGGAGCTGCCTCCCTGGCGTCGATAACATTGGTGCTCAGCACGCAAAAAGCAAGACCGACGGAAAACAAATCAAGGAAAAAATAAGAAAGTTCTCGAAGGACGAAAATTGGATATAAGCTGCCAACCACTTGGAAAAGGTCTTTTTTTTTAGTTTGTGGCTGAACGATTCCAGACACGGTAGCCCGCGTTTTGCTCCTAACGTCATACGAGGACGACCAACAGTGTTATTTCGTGTTGGAAAACAACATCCGTAAACATTCATGCACGTAAACTTCCTTTTCAAGTAAACCAGCAACTTGCAAGAAATGTTGCATGCAAAGATCGACGGTTGCATACAATATATGAAATATTGCATGACATGTCTAATAAATTTACACGATCTCTAATGTAGTCTTGCATGCTTGGCATACACAGTTTTGGTCACGAACTGCTCATTTGTTAATAACTTTACACACAGTTGACGGAACATAGTTCTTGTTGAAACAGTAGATAGAATAGAGTGTAAACTTGTTATAGATATGTAAAAAAATGTAGATTTTAATGCTAGTAGTAAACTGTATTTGTTTTTGCGTTGCAAAAATGAGGTGAGAAATGCTCACTACACATCTCGGAATGTAAGTGTTAAATTGATTAGTGTTGATTCAAATGTTAAGCTTTATCTAATCTTCACATATCTACAGTAAACTATGAGCCTAATCTATCAATTACTTTAAAGAAAAATAAATTTCAATATCTGAGTGAAAAGTTATAACCAAATGAGCAGTTGGTGTGTACAACTGTGCATGCCAAGCATGTAGTCTTGTATGATGCATGACGCTCCATTTGTTACACTACTTTTTCGAACTGTGTGGTTCAGCGTAGTGCCACGATAAGTGAGCAAAATCTGCACAGAGGAGTAGCTGGAACAAAAACCTGGCCAAAATAAGAAAACAATATTTTCTTGATTTTGCATGCTTCGATATTATTTTTTTTTTTATATATTTCAATAGATTGAAAAAAATGTATTTTTTATGTTTTTTGTGCTGTTTCAGACTTAAAAAAGATGTAGAATTTTGCGCGATAAGATCATATGATTTATGGACGAATGAATGTTCACGTTATTATGAACACATTGGCATTATAATCTCGTCCGGAGTCGTCCGTATTGGCATTTGCGAGCCATTTGAAAATGGCATGTTTTGCATCATTTCGTGGCAAAATTGTATCCCTTTACTTCCAGAAAACTTCCGTAACACAACGGTTTTCTGCAGATACCTATGACAAACATACCGAGTACTACCATAGAGGTAACTCTAAGACTGGTAGGTCCCGAAGAAAATCATTATTATTTTTGGCTCACTCAGTACCAGAACAACGGTCCCAAGCAGTCCCAAGCTATTTCACTCACCCCTGCATGTTCTGCATGAATCCACACACCCCTGATGTTATCTGTCAAACTTTCATAGCGAATCAAAACAAACATAGTGTAGTAATAGAATTTCAACTAGAATAGGGTACGTTAATCGTTTGCTTGGGACCAATAGGCTACTAAAGTGGTGAGCCAATTTAAAATCGTTAGTTTCGTATTGATTGTTGGTACTACTTCTGTCCTTATTTAATCTATTACATCAATTGTGGTACTAGATTAAAATTATACTTCAGTAAACTACTCCCGGTTTGATACCCATGACCAGCATCATTTTACTAATGTTGCTAAGTTTTTAAATCTAGTACCTCAATTGATGTACTAGAATAAAGGAGTGTAACGCTAGAAAAACCATATATCATTAGTTTATTTTTATAATTTGTGTGTGTAGCAAGAGTAAGGTTTCTTTGCCTTGTAATTCAATGTTTATGACAGACCGTTTACCCCATTAAGTATTTCACTTTTCAGGTGGTGTAGTGGTAAGCGTGACTGCTTTCTAACACCCCAATGGGTCTGGGCTCAATCCCAGTCGAGGTCGGTGGGATTTTTCTGAGGCATAAAAATCTCTGGTCACGTCTTCCTTCGGAAGGGAAGTAAAGCCGTTGGTCCCGGCCCATGTGTGTTGTGAATGGGTGCGATATCCTTCGCAGGTGTGGAAGCTGCCTTCCTGCACATTCGGTTGCCGTCAATGGATGGCAATCGATGTCCGTCGGTGATTGGCACTAGATTGCGGAACAGAGACCGACGTTAAATAAAGGAAAAAAAAAGAAGATTTGGTTGTACTACTCTCTCATACACACACACACACATACACACATTTACCCATTCGATTTTACATACACATAGGTTCGTTCAAGCTAAAGTAGCAGAGCGTCATAGCTGGCGATAACGAATGAAAATAAAGCAGAATCTGTGCACGGTAACTGCAAACTACTCAATATTGAATACAAAGTACGCATTTTCGAGCGAAAGTGGTACTACCCAATAAATGAGTAAAATTTTAGCGCAGTTGTTGGTTTGATTGTACGAAGATGTATTTGTATATTATACGAATAAGGTGTAATATTTACATTGCGCCAGATGACAGGAAAAACGAATGTTTCGTACCATTTATGAAAGATGTGTTGTATGTACGATATTCATTTTTACGAAACGGTGAAATAACGAAAATACATTTTCAGTGTATCAGAAAAAGCAAGCCGTTCAGCATTGAAACGCAGCAAATGCTCAAAGTGGATGCCATCGTAGGTGGTCAAAATACTGCACAGGACGAAGTTCGCAGCGACTCAGATGAAGATTCTAACTAATAGAACGTAAGAAATCGCAAGTTATGTTATTAAAACTTTCGTTAATTTTTATTATTTTTTTTTATTTCAGGGCAATGATTCTTGAATAATTTCTTTCGTCTTTTTTGTTAAATAATCCTTATATTAAGCAGAAGAATAAAAAAAATCCAATTTCCAAAACCCATTACTTATTTTATTCGTATGGTTGATGAAAGGCCAGATATGCACTGCTAAGTAGATGAATTTTAAAAGTTAAAGGTA